AAAACAACAAAGTCACAAAAACAGGTGAAGTCCCTTTAATTCCTTCAACTTGGCTTCAAAGGTCCAAATATCATTGACTGGAGAAAAAACTCCCCCACAAACAGTTGCGAAAAGGAAGAAATTCCGTTCAAACTCAAAATACATATAAATTATAAATAGAAAAAAAAACAACACAAACCACACTGAAGCAATTAATGAGACAAGGCAGGATAAGGCCTTGAAGACATCCACAGATATCAAAATACACACACTGGGAAGGATGCCAGAACTCAGATAAGAACTGACAAACCAGAAACATTTTCACGCTTTGCTTCCAGCACTGGGCCTTGCACAGTTTGTCCTTTTAAACAGTCCCCACAGCTGCAGCCCATGAAGGGATCAGGACCCTATCCTCCCCCCATAGACCATGCCATTCACGTTTCTCCCTTATCCGCTTCTCCCTGTGTGCTCTAGGATGAAGAGGGGATGGGCTTGGGTCTTCCTCTGAATGCCCAGCCGGCCTGTGCCCTTCCCCAGTTTCCTCCACAACCTCCGGAGCCACATTCCCACTCCCTGTCAGCTGTTCCTCCTCTCCCTCAGAGTCAGATTCTAACAGGGGCATGACAGAAAGAAGACTGAGTCCACCATGAGCAAGTCAGAATTGCAGAAAGAGTTGCAGAATTGCAGAATTGCAGAATTGAGACTGCCAAATTGCAGGCAGCCGGCAGTCAGCAGAAGTAGCCTGCAGAGCTGCATTCTAACCACTGCACCACCGTGGCTCAGTTGTAAGTTGAGGACTACCTGTATATAAGTCTAAGTGCTATTGCTATTGCTATGGTATCACAACATGTGTTTAAAACACTTGTAAGCAAAGGTGGAACTTCAGGTTTTGCTTCTTGCACAAGGATTGCTCGCAGCTTGGCTCCATTGCACATGCTCTTCATCGATCAAAAGCAGAGACCTTAGCATACTGCAGTCCTAAATCATGGTTATATAAAAATCAGAGGCATTTGGCTTCATGGAGAAACAGGCTGGCTGACCAATTTGCCTGTTTTTCCTGTTTCAACAATAGTATTTTTGGCAACGGCAAATATGCTGAGTAGTTTGTTATTACAGCCGAATGGCTAATCACAATCATTCACACGGCATTGCTCAATCAAATGTAATTTGCTCATGCTCTTCATAATACCCTTGGGAGGGTTAGATTATATTCCATTCAGATTTTATTCCACAATGGCCAAGCCCTTCCTGAACTGAATTCATTGTTGAGCCTATCCTGAAAACATTGAACTAATAAAAAGCCAAAGACTTGTTGAATAATTGGTGAATCCCTTTGAAGGTTTTGCTTGCCCGTAAAAGAAGCTAACAAAAACCATAATGTATAGTCAGTTGGCATTTCCATGACCATTATGTCAGCATGCAATACCCTGACTGGACCAATTGCGGTATATAGCCAACAAGTTTTGACTCTTTAAGTACATCCTTCTTCCGTGGTCCTCTCGTTTACCAAAAATGTAGTCTAGTTTAATGAAAAGAAGGATTAGGGGGTGACATGACAGCAGCATTCCAATATTTGAAGGGCTGCCACAAAAAAGGGGGTCAAACTATTCTCCAAAGAACCTGAAAACAGGACAAGAATCAATGGATGGAAACTAATCAAGGAGAGAAGCAACCTAGAATTAAGGAGAAATTTCCTAATATTTACAACAATGAATCAGTGGAATAATTTGCCTCCAGGAGTTGTGGGCGCTCACACTGGAGGTTTTTAAAAAGAGGTTGGATAACCATTTGTCTGATGTGGTGTAGGGTTTCCTGCCTAAGCAAGGGGTTGGACTAGAAGACCTCTAATGACCCTTCCAATTCTGTTATTCTGTTATTTCAAGTATTCACAGCAATTCTTAAATATCTTTCTCATAGCAAAAAAAAAAAAAAACACCACTTTGAAAAAAGAACTCAGTTTCTATCTTAAACAGAGACAGAAAGAGGCAAAAACAATATATGCTGTTATGATAAGTTGTTATGTTTTCCTCTGCACTAGTTCAAGTCTTTGCAGCACCCAATAAAACTGTTATATCCTGAGGACTCAAGGAGTTCTCACTCAGGTCCACTCACTTTGTGTGGGCGTTATTCCCCCATTCCCATTGGTCAGTTCTCCCCAGCAGCCAGCTATAAAAGCAGGCTGCGGGGTCCAACTGGCTGCTGATTGCTGCGAGCCAGTTCCAGGCTTGGCAAGCACGGTCAGCCCTTTATTTGTAAAATAAAGTACTGTTGCACTCATGCTCTGGTTCAGCCTCTCATTGCTCAAATTTAACAAAAACGCTCTTCAGCGACACACAATTTTTTTAAAAAATGACGTGAGCTAATGGAAATCACTTCCAGATTAATTACAAGGTGAAGAAGATGCAACGCAGAGATTGTATCTCCCTGGATCTCCTTCTCAATATTTTCTCCTCCTTGAACAGTGGGACAAGGGAATCACAAACAGAAAAGCTTGCAAAAGCGGGAGCAGTTCTTTGCTCTATTTCTTGCACGTTGCAACAAACAGGAGATAAAACGATTCATGTCAGGTGAAGAGGAAACACAAACTGGCTAGTTGTGGCTGAGATGGGAGGTGAGGGTTCAGCTCCAACAAGCAGAATGAACAAAAATAATAAGAAATTTTGAGCTTGTAGTCGTCGCTAAACAATAAAAACCCCATTTAAATATGAACAGCTATCCCAAAATATTAAAGAAATAGGCCCCGATGCTTTTACGCCTCCATATAATCTCTCCGAAGTTCACTAAGGAGTCAGAAACAGACTTCTAATTCTATTGCTCTACCACTGGAGTTATTAGAAGACATTTCTGATCCCAGAGCCTTATGGATGATGGACTATTAAATGAGTCTCCGCTCTAGTTTTAAATACAGAAAGTCCTTGAGGTCTGGCCACAATCAAGCCCCAAATTCCCTTTACTAAGCAAGATGGCTGCTAAGTGAGTTTTGCCCCATTTTGCGACCTTTCTTTCCAAAGTTGTTAAGTGAATCACTGCTGTTAAGTGAGTAACATGGTTGTTGAGTGAATCTGGATTCCCCATTCACTTGGCTTGTCCGAAGGTCGCAAAAGGGGATCACTTGACTCAGGGACACTGCAACTGTCATAAATATGAGTCAGTTGCCAAGCATTTGAGCCTTGGTGGTGCAGTGGTTAGAGTGCAGTACTGCAGGCTACTTCTGCTGACTGCCGGCTGCCTGCAATTTGGCAGTTCAAATCTCCCCAGGCTCAAGGTTGACTCAGCCTTCCGTCCTTCCAAGGTTGGTAAAATGAGAACCCAGATTGTTGGAGGCAAGAGGCTGACTCTGTAAATTGCTTAGAGAGGGGCTGGAAAGCAGTGGAAAGCAGTGTATAAGTCTAAGTGCTATTGCTAAACGAGCTGTTGTAAGTCAACAATGTACTTACCGAGAGGAGATTTCCAAGCTTACCATTTTACTGCTTAGAGGGGGCTGTAAAGCACAGTGAAGTGATATATAAGTTGAAGTGCTATTGATAAGTGGAAGGGAAGGAAGGGAGGGAGGGAGGAAGGGCCGTGATGGTGCAGTGGTTAGAGTGCAATACTGCAGGCTACTTCTGCTGCCTGCTGGCTGCCTGCAGTTCAAATCTCACCAGTCTCAAGGTTGACTCTGCCTTCCATCCTTCCGAGGTGGATAAAATGAGGACCCAGATTGTTGGGGGCAATAGGCTGACTCTGTAAACCACTTAGAGAGGGCTGGAAAGCCCTGTGAAGTAGTATATAAGTGTAAGTGCTACTGCTATTCTTTTAAATGAAGACATTTCTGCTACAATTTTCCATGAGATTAGGTAAAGAAAAAAAAGATTATATTTTTCTAATCCACGTTTTAAACAAGAGTGAGCTAACCACCAAGTGCTGTATAATTTCACCCATTCCGGACTGTTACATATCTGGATTTGTACACATGACAGAAAGATAAAAAGCTCTGATTAACAAAGAGAATAAACCAACAGGATGTTGGGAAAAACCTTGAAGAGTCACAATGCTAAACAAAATATATTTCTCCCATAATCTAATTGCACTCTCGTTTCCAAGACGATTCCCACCAGAGACGTAAATACATATGCAAACTAACTCGACAGAAGTAGGGGGGAAAGTCATTTATGGCTTCCATTCCATGGCAGGTATTTGCAATACAGTACAAGAACACACACACACACACATACACACACACGTCACACCCTGAAGTATTTCAGCTTTATCTTTTAGTAGTCTGCTGGTTTCCAGCTTAATTTAGATCATTGACAAACTTAATTCATAAGATAATTATCTCTCTTTCTTTCTTTTTCTTTTTCTTTCTATTTCTCTCTTTCTCTTTCTTTTTTTCTGTTTCTGTTTCTCTTTCTTTTTCTTTCTGTTTCTGTTTCTCTTTTTCTTTCTATTATTTCTTCTTTCTTTCTCTGTTTCTCTCTGTTTCTCTCTCTTCCTCCTTCCCAACACAAATGGAAGCACATACAGTCCATTTAGTGATCATTCGAAGTTACAACGGCACTGAAAAAGGGGACTTATGACCGTTTTTCACACTTATGACCCATTGCAACATCTCATTTTGGTCATGTGATGATCATGTGTCATGTGTCAGTTGCTTGGCAACTGACTCCTATTTATGACAGTCGCAGCATCCCAGAGTCACATGATTCCGTTTTGTGACCTTCTGACAAGCAAAGTCCGTAGGGAAGCCAGATTGACGTAACAACCGTGTTACTAACTTTACAACTGCAGTGGTTCACTTAACAACCGTGGCAAGAAAAGTCATAAAAAGGGGATGAGATTCACTTCGCTGCTGTTTTGCTTAACAAAAAAACCCTCTGGCCTCATTTGCAGTCATTAAGACAAAGACTAGGTGTATTCAGAAAGACGTCTGAGAGGAAAACATAGACATAAGCAATCAAAATAATTTAAGGCTTAAGTTTGTAAATTAGAACCAAGAAGAGCCAAGTTGGAGTCATCTCCAATGACAGAAGCTCTGTGATGACCCAAGGTATGGCACAAAGGCAACACAATCAGATAATCAATATGAGTCCCTTTATTATCTCCAACATTGCCCCCAATGTCCTGGTTACCTTCTGGCTGGAGAAAAACTCTCCCATTAACAGCCTTTGGCTGCTGAGAGTCAGGGGAAGGGAATCAGGGCCCTTTCCTCCCTCGTAAGCCATGCAACCCACATTGCTCCCTTCTCCGTTCCCCCCTGCGTGCCCTAGGATGAAGAGGGACTGGGCCTGGATCTTCCTCCAAATTCCTTCTCCCTTGCTCTACCTCTCCCCTGCTCTGCCCAGCCGGACTTTGCCCTTCCCCAGTTTCCTCTACAACCAACGAAGCCACACTCCCACTCCTTGTCATCTGTTCGGCTTCCTCCTCAAATTCAGACTCTGACAGGGGCATGACAGGTTCACTTAGAGACTTACTCTCTCGGTGACTAACTATGGGGTAAGATAAAGAGAAGACTCCTATGTAAGCCAGCTGAGCTCTTGGAAAGGCAGACACAAGCCAAATAAATCAGTTAATCCATTTCCACAACCAATTAATGGCATTAATTGAGGGAACCTTGGTGCTCTCTGAGCTTGGTTGTTTTCCTGAAAATGTTTCATTACCCAGGCTAGGTAACATCACTAGTGGTGTTTCAGTGCTGTGTACTGAGCGCGGGGGGTGTCATTACTTTAAAATACTTCCTAGTGGAAAATGCACAGATCTGGAGGTTTATTTTTGCTGGAAAACAGCTTTGCTTGCAACTCAATAGAAAAACATCAACTGTCCTTCCTCTGGGCTCTGAGTTACTGGAAATGTCTCTCTTGAAATTTTGCTGCTCAGTAGGAATATTTGAGAGACACGGTGGCTCAATGGCTGAGACGCTGAGCTTGTCGATCAGAAAGGTCGGCAGTTTGGCAGTTCGAATCCCTAGCGCTGCATAACAGAGTGAGCTCCCGTTACTTGTCCCAGCTTCTGCCAACCTAGCAGTTTGAAAGCATGTAAAAAAAATGCAAGTAGAAAAATAGGGACCACTTTGGTGGGAAGGTAACAGCGTTCCCCGCACCTTTGGCATTTAGTCATGCCGGAGACATGACCACGGAGATGTCTTCAGACAACGCTGGCTCTTCAGCTTTGTAACGGAGATGAGCCGGAAATGACTAGCATGTATGTGCGAGGGGAACCTTTACTTTTACCTTTAGGAATATTTGTAAACTGGTTTTATTCACTCGTACATTCAAGAAAGCAGAATTATTATTATTTTAAATCAGTAATAATAATCTGCTACAGCAACAGCTGCTCACGTTTCTTAAGAAGTAAAATATTCTTCTAAAATTGCATTCTTGTTATTAATAAGACAAAGACATTGATTTGAAGCATTTAAGTTTCTGCAGCTCAGATTGAGTATTATACGAGCAACCAAATTCTCTATGTGGAAAAAAGAAAAAGAAAAAAAGAAAGAAATGGACCAGACACAGTCTGGAAAAATCTACCTCAGTATTTCCAAATGGGTGTTATTCGCATTAACTTCTCACCTCTTCGCGGACAATTCACAACACAAATGAAATAATGACTTCGAAAACAGGAAGAAAGGAAAGAACCATTAAAAAAAATATTTGGCCTCCAGCTGGTTAGATGTTGAATCAGCCAGATGGAAAGAAAGCCAAAGTTTCTGCAGTATTGAGCCCAAACCGAGTGGTTTGATGAGGTTATGGTTTTTAGGGATCTTGGCTTTATTGTAATGCTATTTTATGATTTCTAGGTTTTATCGGATGGTGTAGTGGATAAAATGCAGTATTGTAGGCTAACTCTGCCCACTGCCAAGAGTTTGATCATAACCAACTCAAGGTTGACTCAGCCTTCCATCCTTCAGAGGTCAGTAAAATGAGGACCCAAATTGTTGGGGGCAATAGGCTTGATTCTGTAAGTAAACCACTCTGAGAGTGCAGCCCATGTCTTTTTTAAAAATATATCTGAAACAGAAAACCTACAGAGTCACGGACCACTATTGGAGATGAACAATTATGCAGATCAGAGTCATGTGAAATTTATACTTCTAAACTATACCATTTCAGCCACTGCTGTTCTTCAGCTGGTAAAAATCTTGCAAAATGATATATGTCGTGACAGCAAAATAAAAACAAACACTTTGTAAGTCATTCTCCTCAATCGGCCAGAATGTTGGTAAAGTTGGTAAAGTTCAGTGCAATAAAATTATGAGGCAATAGAAGTTGCCCATCTTGATGGTAAATACCAACAGTTAACAGTTCGCAACAGTCTTGTAACAACAGCCTTAAGGGCACTTTGAACATTGTTTTACAGTTGGGTTAACTTACATTCCATGCATGCATTTGGAAACATAACTAGCTGGATGTTTTCTAGAAACCATATTTCTCTATAGATCATTTTCCAGGATGGTTGTGTTATTCTTTCTAGCAACACTGAACATAAATCAAATACAGCTTTTCATTTTTTGTTTTGCACTAATAAAGAGTCTCTCTAACCCATCACCTGTATCTAAATCTCCGCTGATATGCACCCTGAACATCATGGAGCTTCATCCACATCCAAAATATGCTTGCATAGCAATCTGTCCTCTCGAAATCAATAGGAATATACGGGAGGCCAAGTTTTAAATATTCCTCATAGTTAGCTAGATTGTGAGCCATGTAGAGCGCTGCAGATGGCCACACCCAAAAAGCATCATCATGGATCTACACTTAAGCAACAATGCCTATCTTCTCTTTCCTTGCTAGTCTCTATAACCCTCCCACTCCCAGGTGTCAGGTGTTGTCACAGAAGGAGTGACAACAACCTCTTTCTCACCAGCCTTAGAAGTCCAACTCATGGACGTATTATCAACATCTGTAGAGAATTCTGTAGATATGTTTCTATGGAGATTCTCAGTCATCCAGGTTACGGTTGTCTCAAAGGGGCTTCCATCCAAGAATGGATGAGAAGCAAAATGTCTTCCTCAAGCAAAAAAAACATATAGTCCAGTTGCCTTTTGAAAAAGCCCCTTTGAGACTCCATAGTACAAGAACGAGCACTGTATAATTTTAGAGGGCATTCAATCCAGTAGTTTTCAGACAGTCCCAAAAGGGCTTTTTTCAGGAGGCAACTAAGCCTTCCTTGTTTTGTTTTGTTTTTTGAAGGTGTTTTGCTTCTCATCCAAGAAGCTTCTTCAGCTCTGACAGGATAATGGGGAATGCTATCCTGTCAGAGCTGAAGAAGCTTCTTGGATGAGAAGTGAAACGTCTTCAAAAGAAAAAACTTAGTTTTAGTTGCCTCTTGAAAAAAGCACTTTTGGGACAACCACGATCTGGATGGCGGAGAATCTCTACAGACTTTTACCTTTCAGGCAGAAATCTGGTTGCTGGTTTGGTCAATTCCTTATGTTGACTTCATGGTGTATATTTCAAAATCTGTCATTGCTCAATGTCTTCCACTATTGATATTGGCCTTGCAAATGCCTTAAATAAATAAGCAGTTTTATTGTGGTAACCCATTCCCGCTTTGTTAGTGTTTGAGGAAACTTTAAAGGGGGAAAAAGCCATTCTACAATATAAAAACACATCAGTATGCAATTGCTTCTAAAGCAGGACTGAGCTCTCAGCTTTCTTCTTTACTACCCCGTGTAAATTCTGCCAAAAAAAAGGGAGGAGTAGCAGCTGTTTAGATCACAAGAATATTAATTAGAAAGCTACCATCAGTCATAAAGTAAAAGCAGAGGTTTGTGTAAGCTTTGCGGTTACATTGTCAATGCACAAATATGTCAAAGATAACACTAAATACTTCACAGAAGAGTCTGCCTGACAAATTCATAACTGTCTTTTGGGGGAAACAGGGAGAGGTTCGGTATCTAATCTTCACCCCTTTGCTTCTGTGCCCTTTTGCACAAGACTACACCACTACAAGTCAGTTAAGTTAAAAATGCGATAATTTCTTCTTCATGTTTGCCTGCAAACCAAAACTCTAAGGTACAATAAAGAACTCACAGAGAAGTTTGTGCAATGAATAGTTAAAAGTATCTTATGTGGGAAATTGTAGATTCCTTTTGAAAGAGGAAGGAATTTACAACCCATAATTCCCAGCGTCATTCTTCCATCCTTGCCTTTTGAGACAAGGGCTTCAGGGAGGTCTATATAAGCAACATCGGGGGGTGTGGGGAGTGGAGGTTTTACCCTTAGGCACCAACTGTCTGGAGCCGTGATTCTCAGCTTTGGCAGTGTATAGATGGGTGGGCTTCAACTCCCAGAATTCCTCAGCCAATAGGAAACTCATTCTCAGTGAGCTCTTTGTGGTATTCTAGAACGGGGGTCTCCAACCTTTTGGATCTCAGGGACCACCAAACTCATAATTTTAAATCCCAGGGACCACTAACCAGTTCTGTAGGTGTGGCCTAATTTGTGGGTGTGGCTTGGTGGTCATGTGACTGGGTGGGCATGGCTTGTATGTAAATATTATAAATATTTATATAAATATTGATTTTTTTTAATAAAAAAGAGCAATTTTTACCCAAAACCAGGCAAAGCAGGCAGGGAGATTGAGTTGCTCACAGAATCATTCAGTGATCTATCTATCTGCCATCGGCTACTTGAGTCTGTCACATAAAATTTGCTTGCCGTGAGTCTGCATTGAATAATAGAACTTTCAGTCCTAAGCCGAAGATTTAAAGACTAGCTAGAAAGCAAGAAATCCAACCATTTCCTACTTCCTAGCTAATCTAAATCTCCCAGCACAGCAGAACAGCTGATGGTCAGAAAAAGGAAAAATAGCAACTTAGCAGGCAAGTTTGCCAGGTAAGGAATGAGTGGGTGGGGAGGGTTCCCGTGGGCCATGTGGGTGGCGCAGCCTTGTGTTTCTGCACGGCCTAGATTAATTGCTTTGGGGGGGGTGCTCTGGGGGTGAGATTTCTCTGTGGCCCACCAAAATTTTCTCAGGGCCTACCAGGGGCTGCGGCCCACTGGTTGGCAACCACTGTTCTAGAGTTTTGGTCAATGGGACAAACACAATGGAGAATGGCTAACAGAAATTCTGGGAGTTGAAGTCCACGCATCTTAAAGTTGCCAAAGTTTAAAAACATTGACCTAGAGCAAGGGTCTTCAAACTTGGCAAGTTTAAGAGTTGTGGACTTCAAGTCCCAGAATTCCTGAGCTAACATGACTGGGGAAGGAATTCTGGGAGTTGAAGTCCACAAGTCTTAAAGTTGGAAGACCCGTGACCTACAGGTTTCATTTGTTGACTCTGAAAGATATGGAAGACCTCTCTACGCAACATTGCTCTTCTGATTACCCAAGACAAAAGTTACAATACTTTGTGTGGTGCCTATTCTGAAAACTGTTGCCTGATGTTACCACAGGGTGGATGCTTCTAGCTGTTCTCCACTGTTTCCGTGAGTTGCTGATTTTTCCTAACGGTGATATACTATTACATTTATATCCAGCTTTTCCTCCAGGAGCTCAAGGAAGAAATAAGGCATTCTTGCCTCAATTCTTTTCTCCAGAACAACAACACTGTGAGGTAGATTTGCCTGAGGAAGAAAAGTGTCCAAAGACACCTGTGAAGCTTCCATCTTAGTAGCACATGGCGATTTCTGTGGCCTTTGCCTCTTCTGCTTCCCGGGGGCCTCCCTCCATAGACATAATAGCATTAAATATATTTCATGTGGTTTTCCATAGTCATAATAATCAGTTGTTGTGATGTCTGTCTCATATTCTCAAAGTAACTCACTTTTAGAATTTATTTGTTTATTTAAAAGATCTGTATGGCCACCCATCTTAAACATAATTCTGGATGGCTTATAACAACAATCAAACCCAGGCCCTATAAAATCATAAACCATAAAACCAAAACACATCCGGCTGCACTTGCAAGTTAGAAATAAAATCATCACTCTTGTGGTTAAAATGTTGTCCATTTCCATGCTTTTTAATAAAATAAAATGTACTTAAATAAAAGTTTATTTATTTACTTAATTACCTAATTAACTTATTTAATTACTTAATTAATTTGCTTAATTAAAATTGCTAAAATAAAATGCAATTGACTTCCAAAACTGCTTTTTCAAGAGGCAACTGGACTTTCTGGTTTTTTCTTTTGAAGGCATTTCGCTTCTCATCCAAAAAGCTTCTTCAGCTCTGACTGAATCCTTCCATTCCCCACAATCCAGTCCCAGCTGAAGAAGCTTCTTGGATGAGAAGCGAAATGCCTTCAAAAAAAACCCAGAAAGTCCAATTGCCTCCTGAAGAAAAGCACATTTGGAACAGCCACGACCTGATGGATGACTGAGAACCCCCACATACAATTTGTATTTTCGTTCTTTCTGATATTTTTTTTTTTAAATACATTTTTGAGAGTCCCAGGCTTAATTGTACCTGAGTCGGCACTGCAAACCATCTCTCTGGCCCTTGGCCCAGAGTTTTGACCATGATGCTATACTAACTTTGCCTCATCTGATTCATGATCATCGCTCTCGCTTACCTGCAGACGGACGCAGAGGGTGAGGGCAGCGGTCCAGAGGAACTTCCAAAGCTGTCTGGTGGTGCTGTTGGCCTTGGCCATCTTCTCGGACCTTTAAAAGAGCAGAAAATGACTTTTTTTGGAGCTTGGAATGTGCTGTTCTTCTCAAATGCCCCCTGCCAGAAATGGAATGACTAAAGCAAACTGGGTAAGCAGTCCAAACCAATCCCTGGAAGCGGCACAGCCTAAACAGTGGAGGTTTGTCCTAGCCAGGAATACAGACTCACCGAGGCACAAAATGCATCCAGCACAAAGAGTGAGGGACTTTCAATTAGGGCAGGAGGACCCCTGGCTTCCCACCCCCTCCCCCATGCTCCTTCTGCCAATTTATCAAGGCAGAGGGACCTTCTCCATCCCCGGTGGCAGCCAAAATGAAATCGAACCTGCTCCGCTATTTCAACACTGCTTTGCTTTGCTTCCTGACAAAAGAGGCAAAGAAGGCCAGAACTTTTGAGCAGCCTTTGCCAAAACATCCAAGCCATGTTGGAAAAAACAACAGCTCTCGCTAACTCTGCAGAAAGGAGGGGAGAGCACGGATTGTTTTGTGGATTAGAAACAGAGAATCCTTCACTGGGGTTTTTTGTTTTTTGTTTTTGTCTAAAGGGCATAGTGAAATTGCCTTTCTTGCCGTGCCAAAGCAAATTCTTTTGTTAAAAGCTGCAGAGAGTTACGCACACAGACCCACCAACTGCTGGTTTTACCTCCCTTTCTATGAGAAACATTTTTCCCCACCCAAAACCTTAATTTGCAAGAAGTTTCCGATTTTAGCCAAACCGGCTGGCAAGGCTCCCTCTTCATAATGTTTGGGGGGTGCGGGCGGTGTTTGGCAGCGTGGCTCAAAGATGAAGAGAACACGGGCAGCACCAGCACCAGTTTCCCTCCATCGAGCTCTCTCTTGTGCTTCTTCTCTCCCGTCCACGTGCCCGGCGTGGCTGCCTGTCTTGCCGTGGCAGCACTCCAAAAGGTGCTTGAATGATGGAGAGACTAACTGTACTTTTGGAGCGCCACGTCTGAGAGCCACTTATTTAAGAGAAATTTAACTTCAGGGATTGGAGCTACCTGAAAAAAGTTGGAGAGGAGCTTGGTTCCCAGAGACTTGACTCATTTAGGAGATGTACAGCTAATCCTTGACTTACAATGGTTCAAAATTACAATGGCACACCGAAAAAAAGACTTAGGAGTGTTTTTCACACCTACAACCTTGCAGCATCCCCAGGGTCTCAAAATTCAGGTACCTGGCAGCAAGAAACCATAGTTTTGGCTCAATTAGTGTGTGTGTGTGTGTGTGTGTGCGTGTGTGTGTGTGTGTATATATATATGTATATATATATACACATATACATATAATATACATATACATATATATATTGCAGCCGTCATTTTCCTATTTACAATCTTACCAACGGCCTTCATGGTCCTGTCATATTGCTGGAGATTTTGGGAGGTTGAAATCCAACACAAGTCTATTCCAAAGGTCAGCAGACGGAGGCAGGCAGGCATTATTTGTGCTTTCTCTTTCTCTCTGTGCCCCTAAACACACAGGGTATCAATGTGGTAATATCCTGGAAGACCAAGGCCTTCCTGGCTTATCTATATTACTAAGTTGTGCAATCCTCTGAATTCAGTTCAAAGAGGTGTTTCAGAACACAAGGGCTGCTCTAATGAGGGGCACAGAGGTGTTACAAAACGACAACCGCACCGAAAAAAAGTCATTTATGATAGATTTTCACACTTATATCATGTTTACCTCACATAATTCCAATTTGGAGCAGTCCACATCAAATATAGCCCACACCCCACCCCAAAAATTCATGGCATAGTTATCATTTTTTTTTAGAAAGAAACATGAAAATAGTTTACTATAGACTGGCTCTGGGTAATGTACACCTTCCCTGTTCAGCTCTGGAAATATCTCTCTCATCCAGATTTAAACTAGGCCCAACCCTGTTTGGCTTCTCAGCTCAACCAAGATCAAACAGACAGAAGTTCAACTTGAAAACAAAGCTGCCATCGCCTATATCAACATCAAGTAACCGTGACCAAGACAGAAGGCTTAATAGCTCCTCAGTCCTCTTTTTTGTAAGATTTAATACTTTCCCTGCGATAAAGCCTTCTTCCAAAATATCTTCCCTCCACACCGCTTAAACCCCTGAGCAAAAAATGCATACATAAATAAAAGGCATCGGAGTGGCTAAGTTGTAGATCAAAGCCAGTCAGAGATGGTATCAAATCTTTCCTTGGAAGCCAACGATTCGCTTAAGCTATCTCACAGGACTGTTGTGAAGAGCAAAAAGGAGGAACGTCCTAATTGTAAGAGGACGATGTAACAGAGATAATCTTGAGGAAAGAATGCAGCAACAAAAACATCACCTTGGCTTGGAAAGCAAGGAGAGGGGGTGAGGAAGAAACTCAAAATCGATCCACCTTGACTGTCTCAACGGGATGCCATAGAGAAGATCTGTTAGCTTTTCAAGATTCTGGTATTTATACCCTATTAAAAAGTGCAGTTCCAGAAATTCTCATCATGTGCACATTAACCCAATTCATGTAGTTTGTGGTTCTCGGCTTGAGTTTACTCAATGCACTTAACCAGATCTGTTAAAAACCTACCACAGGCTATGCTTATTTAGTTTTAATCTTGGCCTTTTATTAAAATGACTTGGCAGGTTTTAAGTATCAAGCTTATACATTTTGTTTATCCTTCAGTCATTTTTTTGCAAAGCCAGAAACAGTTAATCTTAACTGTACACATTCCAATCCAGAACACCGATTAATATGTGCATTGTGGAAACACAGCCCATGTGTGCCACCTTGTGCAAAATAAGTACAGCTCCTCGTTCCAGAGATATCACTTTAAGGAAACTTTAAGTCAAAAGTATGAGAATTAGATTTTGATTAAAGAAACTGCCAAATTTATCCCTCAGCCAATTTGGTTTGGTCAAGAGCCACGCTGCTAAGAATCGCAGTTTCAGACTTTTTTTAAAAAAAAAAAAACTGTTCCTGCATTGAGATACTTACATGTATGTTACCCAAAGTAGTACTATGAAATTTGATTGGATTTCCAAATAAGGATTTAGAAATCGTGTCCAAGTAACGTTTAAGTCTGCAATGCCACTGGAACGTTGTTCTCTTGCATTTCTCCCATACAAAGTCCCTGTGTCACAGCAGGGATTAAGCCAACAAAGGTCACACCACTGACTTTGAAATGGGATAGGAGGCAAAAATGCCTGTGATGTACGTTACATAATGCAGAAGGGCAGGCAGACTATGGTGGATGACATTAAGCTCCCGCTGCCCTTTAGCCGCCTTATGACAAAAGCCACAATCCGTGGTTTGCAATCTGCCACTGTTGAGTTCGTCCAACATGCAAAGCTGAACGAACCTAGCAATCCACCTTACACATTAGTGGCACGTTATGATCTCAGCCAGCCTCTATGAACAGCCTGGAAGCCTTTTGCTAAGTATATTTTGACTGGCTGTCCTTTTTCAACAGGCAGCTGTATGCACATCCTGCTGTGTTCCAGGGGTTCAAGGATGTTGCTCCAGCTCCCCTTCCTGGAAGGTCCCCCCACCCAAGGCCATCACTCTGCTAAACCACTAATTCCCACAACACCGTCAACTTACTTACTCAGACTGTATTACTATTCTTCTTCTCATCCCTCCTAGTACCTCTCTCTTCCCACTTAGGACTACAACCGTGTTGCTTGTATCTTCACGATTTATATTGTTTTATTTGTTTCCTAGTATGGTTTGATTGCTTATTAGTAACCTATGACTATCACTAAGTGTTGTATCTTATGATCCTTGATAAATATATTTTTATTTTTTCTTCTATGTACACTGAGAGCATTTGCACCAAAGACAAATTCCTTGTGTGTCCAATCACACTTGGCCAATAAAGAATTCTATTCTATTCTATTCTGTTCTATTCTACTCTACTCTACTCTACTCTACTCTACCCTAATTTCCATTCCTGTTCTGTTCTACTCTATTCTACTCTAATTCCTATTCCTATTCCTGTTCTATTCCTGTTCCATCCTATCCTATCCTACCCTATCCTATTCTTTTTTCAATTTATTGGCATAACCACCGTGTGAAACAGGTAAGTAATGGTGGTTTTCTCCAGCACACTAGACTGACATATGGCTGGATGGCTGGCTTAGTCAGCAGCTCCAGGCACTGTGCGAACCCAAGCCCTTGGTTTCCCTCCGTTCATCGAGGATGAAATGCAACTCCCAAAAAACAGTTCAGGGGGTGGGATGTCACCCAATGGGTTTCCATGGCTAAAGTGAAAAGGCGAGCCTGGCTTTTCCCAGCCCTGCCCCTCACCCCGCTCTTTCTTCAGACTTCGAGAGAACGGCACTCTCCACATGCTCAGAGGCTCCGTCACCACCACACAGGAGGAGGTTAAGAGAGCCCTCAACATCTCAGGGTGGCGTCCACTCCCCCCGCACCCGCCTGCCCATACCCCCCCCCCAAGGCCAAAGCGGGCGAGAAGAGGAGCGAAGGAAGGCGGCGCCCCTCCTGCCTCGCCCCGTCCCTTTTTTTTTTGGGGGGGGGGATGTCTCTGCCAGCCACCCACCTCGCGCGACGGCGCTTCTCCTGGGGCGCCTCCTCAGCGGGAAGGGCGAAAAGCGCTCCTCTCGGTCCAAAGCCAGTCCCGGGACGTCGCCCGCAGGCTTGCAGAAGGCAGCTGGCAAGCGCACAAGTGCCCGCCCTTCCAAGCGAGCAGGCGGGACGGCTAGGGCTCGCTTGCCCGCCCGTCGGCCCGCCTGCCTGCCTGCCTGCCTTCCAGGCTGCAGCCCACCGCCCAGGCGAGGTCTCGGGAAGTCAAGACACCCCCTCCCCCCAGCCCAGCCCCCACCCCCGTCTCCGCCTCTCCGCCCGGGGTGGGAGCCGCGCGCTCCAAGAACACGCGTGGAAAGCGCCGCCGCCACCGCCGGCTGCTAGCCAAGCCGTGCAACCGAGCGCGCCCGAGCCCCTCTCCTCCTCCTCCTCCTCCCGCGTCCCGCCAGCAGCAGCCTTCTCGCCCCTGGAATCCCCGGGTCTGAGCCAGCGGCCGTCCGCAGCTCGCTTGGGAATGCGGGGAAAGCAGGGAGGAGGTGTTGACACGCGTCTGCTCCCCGGGGGAACGTGGGAAAGAGGTGGGTGAGTGCGTGGGTGGGAACTCCACTTGACGCCGCCCTTATATCCCCAGCCAGAAACTGCCTCGGGAGACCCGGGCGGATTTTGCGCGAGCCGAAGCCAACGCGGAGGTTAAATGGACCGACTGGGACATGAAAGGAGGCGAAAAAAGATGGGGAGGGGGGGATTCCCAGAGGGGATTCCCATCAGCCCCACCCCTCGACCCCAACGGAGTTAGTTCAGCGATGCTGCCCCCCCCCCCCCTTAATGATGGTTAAGTGTGGTCCTGTGGACAGAGCAGTGCTTCTGCGCCCTATCCCCCACCCAGAGTGTCTGCTCCTGTTTTCAGACCACCGTGGTTTCCTGATTTAGTCAGTCACAGATACAGATCAGTGGTGGGATTCAATTTTTTGTACTACTGGTTCTGTGGGCGTGGCTTGGTGGGCGTGGCTTGGTTGGCCATGGCAGGGGAAGGATGCTGCAAAATCTCCATTCCCTCCCCACCCCAGTAACCTGCTTTCCAGCTCCATTCTCCTGTGCAGGGCAACAAATGGAGTCCCAGCCAATCAGCTGGGACTCAGGAGGTAGAGAATAGAGGGGGGCGGGGGCGGGGCCAGTCAGAGGTGGGATTTGCCGGTCCTCTGACCTTCTCAAAATTTCCTCTACGGTTCTCCAGAACTGGTCAGAACCTGCTGAATATACCACCTCTGATACAGATTAGTTGAAAGGGGACCTTGTAGGTCATCTAGTCCAACCCCTCACCCAAGCAGGAGACCCTACACCATTTCTGACGAATGGCAGTCCAGTCTCTTCTTGAAGGCCTCCAGGGCTGAAGCTCCCACAACTTGGATTAATGCCCTGATCTTCTGCATGGTCAGAGAAGCTACAGGTAGCCCTAATTTACAACAGTTCATTTAGTGACCATTCAAAGTTACAACGGCACTGGAAAAAAAAGTGACTAAATGACCATTTTTCACACTGATGATAGTTGCAGCATCTCTCTGGTCACGGATTCGGATGCTTGGCAACTGACTCATACTTATGACGGTTGCAGTGCCCTGCCCGGGGTGGCATGATCCCCTTTTGTGACCTTCTGACAAGCAAAGTCAATAGAGGGAAGCCAAGTTCATTTAATGACTGCGTCACTAATTTAACAATGACGGTGATTCGCTTAACAAATGTGGCAAGAAAGGTCGTAAAATGGGACAAAACCCCCTTGACCCATTTCTCACTTAGCAACCTAAATTCTGGGCTCAATTGTGGTCATATGTCAAGGAGTAACTGGACTTCACCACCGGAGGAGCCAAGAGGGCTCTCAATTTCTCAGCCTCGTGTCCACCCTAAACTGGCGAAGGCAAGCAAGGAGAAGAATGAAAGGAGGACGGGTTCAATATGAAGTGCTAACCTGCATGTGGGAATCGGACCACTTGCTAGTATCACAGAAAAGGTTTGTCTGGTTTTTTAAAAAAAAATTAAATATTTTATTAAACAAAACAATTAAAAATATTGAACATGGTGAAGTCGGTTTGACGTGATTTTGGGTCAATATCATATATATA